CGATGTTCTGTCGGAGTTCCGCAGGTGCTCTGGTTGGCTGAGTGGGTCTGTAGATGTGGGTCTTGGTGTATTTGTGGGAGAGGGTGACTTACAAGTGTCCTACTCCGCCATCTTGCCCGGAAGTCTCTTTCACTCTTTCACACTCTATATTTTTTATTATTATATGTATTTTTCCTTAGCCATGTTTGATACCAATAATTTTAAACTTTATTCAAAAAGTATGATTATTGTAGGAAAACTAAATAATAATTCAAAACATTTATAATAGTGTTTATAATATTTCTAATTAATATATTTAATACTTCTGTATATCCAAAAAGTAACAAGACTGCATATATATATACACATGTGGAAAGTGTATTCATTTGTTTACACTTCAGTTAGATGTGTTTGTTTACCGTTAAAAAGTGAGATAAAATATTGTCGGATAACGAACACGTGTTGTAAACTAGAGGCTCCACCACAGATCTGGTTCTCTGTCTAGTGCTTTTTAAGCCTTTCTTCCTGAAGCCCAGAAAACAGTCGAGGTATCAGATGAAAAGCATTCTAATTATGAGTATATTCAATCATTTTACATTTTAAGGAGAGTTTTGTTTATGAATGTGTCTGCTACAAGCTTACAGACATCTAAGTCAAATTTTATTGTTCTTTAAATTCCTGTTTCTTGGTTTTCTTGAATCGTGTTCACTCTGTCAGTTGTGGAGCAGTGTGTTCTGAACCCTCGCACTGCGAGTCACACTGTGACTGCGGTTTACCTGTTTCCTGTGGTATTGTCCTTTTCCTGCTAGTGTCTGTGTTGTTAGGTGCATGCAAATAAAGATGTTGGGTATTCCATATGGACTCAACATTTCCTTTTTATGAAAGTTTGTCTTCAGTAAGACCTTTTGAATAAAACCCTGTCTTGTATGACATTGACATGACTACGGCAGACTGTTTTGGTGGTTGTTTGCGCGGTACATCTTTTCCCACCTCTTTACTTTTCAGTTGCCTATATTCTTATAATTCAGTGATCTCTCTTATAAGTAGATGATAGTTAAATTGTTCATAAATCTTGTATGACTGTCTTTGTCTATCCCTACAACCTGTAATCCACTTAAAATTATTGTGCTTATTAATACGTTTGGATTTAAATATTTCCTTTTTTAGGTGCTTTCTGTTTTTCTTCCTGATCCAGGTTTCTTTCTATTTTCTTTCCTTATTTTGGAATTATTACTTTTTAATCAGTCTAACTTTTAAATCAATCGTGTATGTTGTTAAAAATTTTAAAGTATTTTTAAAATGTGAATACCCTTAGTAAGATAAAGTCTATAATTACAACTTTCTAAGTGTATTATGAAGCAACAAGAATCCTCCACAGTTTCAGGAAAGCACTCTGGTGATTTTTATAGTTAATTTCATAATCTGTTTTGAAAATGCACCAGAGGGTTTTTATGGGGGGGGGGAAGACGAGGCAGGAGAAGGGAATAGGACGATCTGATCATTTGTTTAAATTGTGTGTGTTTGCTTAAATTGTTACGAAACTGGAAGGAAAGTTTGAGTTGTTTTTGGTATGAATTAATAATCCAGAGGTTTCACAACCCAGCTATTTGACTTTCTGTTGGAGTAAGAGCCTCTATTGTAGCTGAGAAAATGGATGAAAAATCAGATGAAAATCTTTCACCTAAAGATGCAGTTTAAACCTTAAAAAGCTCATCTCTAACTAAGACACTTGGAACTGCCAGAGAAGTGAAACTTAGTAGTATGTATAATTATTAAGAATATTGTATAATTATTTTTAATTTAATTTCTTTCTTTAGTTTTTGAATATTCAATCACGTACATGCTATATGCTGTATCATATATACATGTGTGCACACATGCACCTAACATATAAAACGTGTGCGCGCGTACATTCTCCATTAGGTGAAGTTGATTTGTGTTGTTTTTACCATCTTAATTTCATTGAAGTCCTACGCTTATTTTATCATTTGTGAGAAATGTACGTTAAACTCAACTACTTTGAGTGTTTATTTCTCCATTACTCTCTGTAGTTCTGTCAGTTTTAGTTTTATGTTTCCAAAGTTTTTGTATCATAGGGAAAATACACAGATACATATATATTACATACAGATTATAGGTAATGAATATACACATTTAAAATTGTTATATATTCTTAGTGAACTGAAATCCGTCTCTGTGATGGACACTTCGTAGTAGCTTTTTGTGCCTTTTGTCTGTTTTGCCTCATGTTAGCTCAGTATCTGTCTTTTGTAACTATTTGCATAAAATAATTTTTCATCATTTTACTTTAACCTTTTTATATTGTTTTGACTTAACTGTATATGATTAGTTATTTTTTAATCCAGTGCAACAATCTTTGTGCTTTAATGGAGCATTTAATACATTTACCTTTACGGGAAGTATGGGTATTTAAGAAGTAAGTGTATCATCACTTGTATTTTCTGGCTTTCTTACCTAATCTGTTTTTGAATCTTCTTCTAAATTTATTTTGAATGTATTATTTATCATTTCTTTTTTTCTCACCCATATCAGTTACAAAAATATTGAATTGAATCCTAAAATGTGAATACCTTGTAAAACTATTCTTTTGAAAAGCACTTCCATTATTTCTACACTTCACGTACTCACTTTGTAATTCACTTTCTCAATAATGTGGTATTTGACTTTGTTTCAAAACATGAGAAGGAATATTCCTGGATAATTAACAGGTATTTGAATTACAGAGGATTTTCAATAAATACGGTCTTCTGTTTAATGGATTAAAAACATCTTTCTTGTAGCTCAGAAAGCGGCACTAAATCTCTTAACCAAGGAGGAAGTGGAATTGTCAAAAAACCAGCCTCAGACTAAGAAACTTTGGCCTGTCGAAATGGAAACACTAAGTAGTAAGTATGATAAGTTTCAGTATCATCTATTTATTTTTAGTTGAAGTGAGTGTAAAACCCCTCTGTCTTAGATTTATGAACGTTGAAGCACATCTTTTTTGTAAATCTGTCAGATCACATACGTTTACTTTGGTGGTCAGTGCTGCTTTAATTTTGTTGAAGTTCTGTTTGTTCATTTTGTGTTACCAAGATGTTACAGTCTCGCACTGTGATGGTAGATTTCTTATGTTTCCTGGTAGTTTTGCCAGATTTGTTCATATATTTGAAAATGATGTTATTTCATGGGTACAAGTTTATACTTGTTAGACTTACCTGGTAGACATGAGCCTTTGTTTCTGTAAAAGTACACTCTTTATCTCTAAAAACACCTTTTTTGCCTTAATGTTTATTTTGTCTGATAATAGTATAACTATGTTTGCTTTCTTGTGGTAAGTGTTTACACAGTCTTTTATAAACAGTTCAGACAGAAGTTCATGGTGTCTGTACGGTCTCAGTAATTTTTTCATAATGATCCTAAACCACAAGAAAGTTCAATGGCTTTTTTCTTCATTCATTGTGTCCAAACAGCTTAGCACCCATTGGGTACTGACTACATAACTTTTGTGGGAACATCGATTTTCAGCACTGTTAGGTAAATACTGAGGGGCACGATTTCTGGACCATATGGTAGAACTGTGTTTACCTTTGTAGGAAATTGCCAAACCGTCTTCAAAGTGGCTGTAGTGTATTGTGTTCGCACCAGCTACACACCAGTATTTCCATTGCTCCACATCCCTGACATCATTTGTTGTGCCCAGCATTTAGATATCCTTATAGGTGTACAGTGGTATCTCGTCTGAATTTGCGATTCCCTGTGAACATCTTTTCAGATGTTTATCTGCTGTCTAAGTGACTTCTTTGGTAAGATATTTGTTCAGTCTTTGCCTATGTTGTAATTGAGTTGTTTGTTTTCTGATTGTCAGGTTTTAAGAGTTCTTTGTGTATTTTGGATAACAGTTCTTTATCAGGTGTGTTCTGCAAATACTTCCTTCCTGCCCGCAGCTTGTGTTACCATTCTTTTAACAGTGTCTTTCACAGAGCAGAAGTTGCGTGCATGTGTTTGTTTTCTTAAAAATGATGTCTATGGGATTTCAAAATGTAGACTAGATAAACAAGATTGCAAACTGTGTAGCACAGGGAAATATATGCAGGATCTTGTGGCTTACAGCAGAAGAGAATGTGACAGTGAATGTATGCATGTTCATGTATAACTGAAAAATTGTGCTCTACACTGGAATTTGACACAACATTGTAAAATGACTAACTCAATAAAAAATGTTAAACTTAAAAAAAATGATGTCTAACTTACCAGGTTTTTTTTTTTTCGGGGGCAGGGGGAAGATTGTGCTTTTGGTGTTGTGTCTACAAAGTCAACACCAAACTGAAGGTCACCTAGACATTCACCTGTTCTCTTCCAGCAGGTTGAGAGTTTTGCATGTTAGTTCTTGGTAAGGTGATGAGACTGTGTCTAGATTCACCTTTTTCGTGTCAGTACTATTAACTGAAAAGACTGTTGTTTCTCCTTGAATAGCCTTTGCCTTTTTGTCAGAGATCATCGACCACATTTGTGTAGGTCTGTGTCTCTTTGTTCTGTTACAGTCGACCTCTTCCTCTGTTCTTTCACCAGCTGTCTTGATTTCTGTAACTCTGTAGGAAGTCTTGAAGTTGGGTAGCATCAGTCCTCTGACCTTATTTTTCTTCAGTTTATTGAGAGTTTTATCATGAATGGGTTTTGGGGTTTTTTTTTAATGCTTTTCTGCTTCGCTGATCATATAATTTTTTCTTTAGTCTGTTGATGTGATAGATTATATTAATTGATTTTGGAATACTGAATCAGCATTCCATACCTGGAATAAATCCTACTTGGTCATGGTATGTAATTATTTTTAGACACTCAATTTACAAATATTTTGTTAGCTAATGTGGGTATTTTGCTAGCTAATGTGGGTATTTTGCTTTTCCATATAAACTTTAGAATCAGTTTCTCCAAAACTCCCAAAAATAGCTTATTGGAATTTTGATTGTGATTGCATTGAATCAAGTTGGAAAGAGCTGACAGCTTTTCAATATTGAGCCTTTCTATCCATGAACATGGAACATCTCTACATTAAATCTTTGATGTCTCTCTTACATTTGTTAGATTTATACTTAGATATTTCATTTTTGGTGCTAATATAAATGCTGTTGTGTTTAACTTCAGATTCCACTTGTTTATTGCTGGTATATAGGAAATCAGCTGACTTTTGTGTATTGACCTGTACCTGGAAAACTTATTATAACAGCTTATAATTCCAAGTGTTCCGTTGCTGTTGTTGATCCACAAAAAAGTTCTGTTTATTTTTCTCAATTTATATGCCTTTATTCCCTTTTCTTGACTTACTACATTAGCTGGGACTTCCAGTGTGAGATTGCATAGGAGTGATGAGAAGGGGCATCCTTGACCTATTTGAGACCTGAGAGGCAAAGCATTTAGTTTCTTACCATTAAGTGTGATGTTATCTGTTGATTTTTTTTTTTTTGGTAGATGTTCTTTATCAGATTGAGGAAGTTCCCCACTATTCTTAGTTTATTGAGAGTTTTATCATGAATGGGTCTTGGGTTTTTTTTTAATGCTTTTCTGCTTCGCTGATCATATAATTTTTTCTTTAGTCTGTTGATGTGATGGATTATATTAACTGATTTTTGAATACTGAATCAGCATTCCATACCTGGAATGAATCCTTCTTGGTCATGGTATATAATTATTTTTAGACACTCAATTTACAAATATTTTGTTCAGGATTTTTGCATCTTATTTGTGAGGTATATTTCCTGTATTGTAATATCTTTGTCTAGCTTTGGCATTAGAGTAATATAGCTTAAATCTATTGTGGTCTTAGTGTGTACTTCATACATTTTCTATTCTATTAAATTTTCTAAGGTATGGATTTTCAGCCTGATGTATCTGTCAATTACTGATAAGATGATATTGAAAGCTGCAAATATAATAGTAGATTAGTCTCTTTCTCCCTGCAGTTCTGTTTTTGCCTCATGCATTTTGTTGCTCTGTTGTAAGGTGCATACTAATTAAGAATTGTTATGTTTTCTGTGGTATTGACCCCTGTATTATTATGTAATGCTCTTTTTATCCCTGTCAATTTTCCTTGCTCTGAAGTCTGCCTTGTCTTATATTAATATAGCTTCTCCAGCTTTACTTTGATTGGTGTTAGCATAATGTTTCTCCATCCCTCTATTTTTAGTTTACCTTATCTTTATATTTAAAGTGAGTTTCTTATAGACAACGTATAGTTGGGTTAGTTTATTTTTTGACCCTGACAATCTTTTTAAATTGATGTTAGACCATTTAATTAGACCATTCACATTTAGAGTGATTATTGATATATTTGATTTAATATTAACCGTATTTATAACTATTTTCTCTTCAATGCCCTAGTACTTTATTTTTCATCTTCCACTCTTCTCCTACCTTCTCTGCCTTTAATCACATATTTAATATGATTCCATATTCTTTCCTTTCTTAGCATATCAATTACACTTCTCTAAAATTTTTTTTTAGTGATTGTCTTAGAATTTGCAGTATACATTTACAACTAATTGAAAGCCACTTTCAAATAACACTGTGCCATTTCATGAGTAGTATAGGTAATTGATAATTATAATCCAAATTCCTTCTTCCTGTTCCTTTTAACATTTTTGTCATTCATTCATTCATTTTATTTCCCTATAAGCTATAATCACTGAATACATTGTTTCTATTATTATTATGAATAAACTGTTACCTGTTATGTCAACCAAGTTTGAGGAAAAAAATGTTAAATCACTTACCTTCATTTATTTCTTCTCTAATGCCATTCCTCTCTTTATGTAAATCTACATTTCTGATTTGTATCATATTCCTTCTCTCTGAAGAACTTCTTTTAACATTTTCTTGCAATTGCAAGCCTATTGGCAATACATTTCTTCATTTCTTTTTTTAAATCTGAGGAAGTCATTGTATCTCAGTTTTGGAGGATAATTTTTCAGGATACAGAATTCTAGATTGGTTGATTTTTTTTCTTTCAACACCTTAAATATTTCTCTCCATTCTCTACTTGCTAGTGTAATTTGATGAGAAGTACAAGATATTTTTACCCTCTGTAGATAAGGTATTTTTGTATTTTGTTTTTGTTTTGCTCTGGAATCTTTCAAGATTTTCTCTTTGACTTTGATTTTCTGCAATTTGAGTATGATATGTTTAGGTGTAGACTTTTTAGTATTTATCCTTTTTGGTGTTCTCTGAGTTTCTGTGATCAATGGTTTGATGTCTGTCATTAATTTTTGAAAACTCTAAGCCAATATTTCTTCTGTTGCATTGTTTCTCCTTTTGATATTCTCATTATGTGTATATAACACCTTTTGTAATTGTCCAAAAGATCTCTAATATTCTGTTCCTTTTTTTCCATTAATTTTCTCTCTTCTTTTCAGTTTGGGGAGTGTTTAGTGTCATCTCTTGAAGCTCACTGATTTTTTCCTTGACTATGTCCAATCTAATGATGAGCACATCAAAGCATTCTATGTTTTTGTTGTAGTATTGTTGATTTGTAACATTTTCTTTTGATTTTTTTTCTTAGAGATTCCAAATGATCTCTGCTTACCTTACCCTTCTGTTTTTGCATGTTGCGTCTTTTTCTGTGAGAGCTCTTAGCATATTAATTATTTGAAACACCCAGTATGATAATTCTAAAATCTCTGTTATACGAGTCTGGTGCTGATAGTCTTCAGACTGGTTTTTGCAATTTAGCATGCCTTGCATTTGTTGTGGTTGTTGTTGCTGTCTAGAGTAATTCAAGCCTTCTGTTTGTTTACTGATTTTACTTATATTTATTTATTTTTCTTTACTGATTTTCTGTCTAGATGATACGTCCATTATTGTAAATGGAGTATTAAAGTCTCCTATTATTGATTTGCTATTTCTCTCTTCAGATCTGTCCATGTTTGCCTTATATATTTAGGTGATCGTTTGTTGGGTGCATATATATTTTAACTTGTTACATCCTCCTGTTTAATTGATCCTTTCATCATTATGTAATGACCTTCTTTTTGTGTTTTGGGAGGGTTTTCTATTAGTCTTTTTTTGTCTGACATGAGTATAGCTACCTCTGATATCCTTTGATTACCATTTGCTTGACATATCTTTTTCCATCCCTTCCTTTTCAGCCTATGTATGTCCTTAAGTCTAAACTGGATCTTTCGTTAATAGCCTGTAATAGCATCTTATTTTTTATCCATTCTCCAATCTATGTGTTTTGATTGAAGACTATAATTTATTTATATTTAAAGTAATTTTGATAGTTAAGGACTTAGTATTGCCATTTTATTAGTTGTTTTCTGTCTCTTTTGTAGTTATGAGGTGTCTGCTTAGAAATCCACTGTAATCTTACGGGGGTTCTCTTGTATGCAGTAAGTTTTTTGCTGCTTTCAGAACTCTTTCTTCGTCTTTTAGCTTTGACAGTTTAATTATGTTTCAGCATAGACTTCTTTGGGTTCAGTCTATTTTCAGTCTTTCGAGATCCATGAGTTTGGATGTCAAGTTCCCTCCTCAGATTTGGGAAGTGTTAAGCCATTATTTCTTTAAATATGCTTCCTGTGCTTTTCTCATTCTCTGCTCCTTCTGGAACGCCTGTCTTGTGTGTAACTGTTCAGTTGATGGCATCTCGTAAGTCCTGTAGGCTTTCTTCACTATTTTCCTTTTTGTTGTTCTACTGGGTAGTTTCAAATTACCTGTCTTTGAGCTCACTGATTTCTTTTTCCTTTGCTGATCAAGTCTGCTTACTGAAAGCTTTCTATTAAATTCTTCAGTTAGTCATTGTGTTCTTCAGCTCCAGAATTTGTTTGGTTCTTTTCTCTGTATTCTATCTCCTGTTGAACTTCTCATTTTGTATATGTATTGTTTTCCTGATTTTATTTAATTGTATATTTGTGTTCTCTTGTAGCTCACTGAGCAGCTTTAAGATGATTTTGAGTTTTCATCATATAAAAAAATGTATATGACAGATCTATACTGACAGATCTATATGGTTAGTCATGTAAGAAATATTAGCTGAAGATCATCATAATTTCTGCCTCATATATTTATCATACCAGCTTTACCAGAACTAGACAATTGTTAAAATAATAATGATTCATAATTCTAGTTTGCTTTATAATTTTGATAGGAATATCTTTTGGTGCTTCACCGTAAATCAAGGTGTTAACTTTTGGATTGAGACAGAAATATATTCTGTACTAAGCAAATGAATGCCTAGGAGTGAATTGATAATTCTGTTTTTTCATAGAGTTTTATCCAGCATAAACATTAAACTCTGTTAAATGAACTTCTGGCAGTCACTAAGTAATCGTTTTTCTCTTCTTACCTGACATAGTATGAAAGAATACTTTCCTAACCTTCTTGGAATTAGGCCCCAATAGATAGTCTCAGTCGTGTTTCCTGTGTTTAATTTACTGAAAGTTCTCTTTATCTTGATTGATGAAGGTGTGGATGAACTCTCAGATGAGACTTTTACACTTAACGACGTAGAATCAGCTGCAGGATACAAGGATCAAATTCAAACAAGTGGAGTTTATCGCTCGGAAAGACTGGGAGGTATGTATGATATTGACATTTAGACATAGTTGTCATAAAACACTTGACAATTTAAAAATACATTTAAGTGTACAGCTACTTAATGTTCTTAGGTGAATATTTTCCTGAAGTTAAATGTTTTAGAACACACTTTACCAAAACTTGGATTTCTGCCGAACTTGTAAATGCTTTAATGCTATTAGCACCCCTCACTACTTCTCATAGTCTTTATTATTCTAATTCTTATAGTATATTTCTTAAATTTATTGAGGAAGAAACTCTACCTTTCTCATTTTTTGGAATATTGTTTCATAGAGAACAAGTTTAGGCAATATTTTTCATGGAATCTTATAGAGCTATTATGGTTACTTCATTTTTAAAGGTAAGGCATTTAGCCAGCATTCACATTTCAGTTCTTGTCAAGTATCATTATCTGCTAAAACATATTTGTTGTTATTCGATACACCTGTTCTTGATACTGTTATCTGGTTTTAAGAAGGGAAAAGGAGCGTTCGTTCTTTACTGGATCTTGATTTTGATATTGCTCTGTATTTTCTACTATAATTCTTGATATTGGTATATTTTTTGGTGTATATTTTAAATAAATTTATTTATCTGTTTTTTTCTATTTGCTTCAAAAATGGATTTGAGGAAAAATGGACATTATCAGAAGGACTAGAAATTTTTTATTTGGATTTTTAACTTAGTATAATAGACAATTTAATCTATCTTTGAGCATCTTATGAACCAGATAAACCCAAGTGTTTTAGATTCCGTTACTTTTATTTTCAAATATGGAAAGGTATAAGAATTAATGTAATGAACACTGGTGTGTCTGTTTCCAGCTTAACAAATATAACGTGTCTTTAGTATTTTAAGTCCTCCCTCTATTCTCCTCATGTCACTGCTTCCTGCTGTTCTGAGTGTGGTGTTTGTTGTTCCTGTGCATTTCTTTACACTTGCATCAGGGGTGCTTTTGTCTGTAAAGGGTTTGTGCTGTTGGTTGTTTATAGTTGTGCTGTACGTCTCCTTAGGGAACTTGCTTTTTTGGTTCAACGTCACTGTTGATAATTGTAGTTCTTGTTCATTTGGTTTTATTGCCGATTACCCTTCATAATGTGAGTGGGCATGTTTCCTCAGTTAAAGACCTTAAGAGAAAAAAACTGAAGTCTTCTGGAGAGGAAGGGATTCTGCCTCCATACTGCCTTAGATGTAAGACTGAAACATTGATTCCTGCCAGAATTTCCAGCCTGCAATCCAGCCATATAGATTTTGGACTTGTCAGCCCCCACAGTTGATGAGCCAATTCCTTAAAATCTCTCTTTCTCTTTCTCCTCTGGAGAGCCCAACCTGGTACAGATTTTGGAAGAGAATCTCAAGGATGAATTTTCCAAATTGGTTCTGGGTTTTTTAAGTTAGTTTTCTAATCTGATTAGTTTTAAATGCACAGATGACTATTTCCAGCAGTAAAGAGAACACTGATGGTTCATGGTTTGATGTTGCAAGAGAAATCTACCAAAAATCACCATTGACTTCTCATAATCAAATAATTATGATGTAGGCTTCTTGGTGGCCATCTCTTTGATACTTAAGAACATTTTTGTCAAACTAATGAATATAATGAGGTTGACTGGTTGCTCCTGATTGTGCTGGACAAGATGGGGGAAAGTAAACGGCGAACTCAGGTGGGACTCACATTCCCAGCTCAAGCACCGCATAAATGACTGGAAAGCTTCTATGTCTACCGTGAAAGAAACTTGCATCTCCTGCAGCTGCAGGGCTGAGATTGCTGAAAACCAAATCTAGTCTCTTCTTGAAAGTGGCTGAATTATAAAACACACTGAATTCCAACCTCACGGAGTTTCTGCTATTAAGATGAGAACTTTGATTGGAAAGGAGTGGGATCTTGAAAAGTGGAGTGGTGATATATGGGAAGATAGTGATGAAGCCAGGGACACTGACACTTGAATCCTGCTGAGTCTTCCTTGTCCTTACAAGAAGGCTTCCCACCTTTGTATGATGAGATTAACCCTGCTTTGACTGAGGAAACTGTAATGGCCTCCTTTGAGGTGGTCACTGTGCAAAACACTCCTGATTTTCCTCAAGACTCATCCCATCTCTCCCCTTTGCTTCTCGACCTGTAACTAGGCTCAAGTTTCAGCAGACCTCTGAACATGAAGTATAAGGTGTGATCTATGAGGAGGTATGCTGCACTCCAAAAGAACTGTATTCTTTTTTCCAATTGAGAACAGAAATCTTGGAAATACATGTAGGAATTGATACTAAGGGTGTAATATAATGGTGAAGGAACATAAAGTTTGATCACATCAATTTTTTATATAGACCCAATAAGAAGAAATTCTGCATTTAATGTTGCATCTTGGAAGATTAGAAAGTGCTTTAAAAGTTTTTTCATTTGGCTGAAACATGGAACAAAAAGTGTCCCATAGTAAATGAAATTGAAATGCAGAGCTAAAGTAAACCAAGGAACCTATTTTCACCTCTAGTATAAAAGTTAAAAAAAATTTTTAAATAACTGTGGCTGCAATGATTTGTTATTGGATGCACAATGTAAAAAGATATGAAGTGTGACATCAGTAGCATAAAATGTGGGAGGTGAAGAAAAATGTAAAGTTTTTGTATGTGATTGAAGTAAGTTGTTGCCAGCTTACGATAGACTATGTCTATAACACACAGTATGTGAGCCTCATGGCAGCCACAGAGAAAACATTTGTAGTAAAAACATGTGTAAGGAGAAAGGAATGAAAGCATATCACTACAAAAAATAAATCACCGCAGAAGACAGCAAGAGAGGAAGAGAGGAAGAAAGGAACTAAAAGAAACATTAACAAAACGAAAATAACAAGATCTTACCTATCAGTAATTACTCAGAAACAGTGAATGAGTGGATGGATTAAAAAGAAAAATCCAACAGTAGGCTGCCTCCAAGAGACCTGTTTTAGCTTTAAGGACATTTATAGGCCCAAAGTGAAGGGACAGAACAAGATATTCCATGTAAACGACAACCAGAAGAGAGCAGGAGTGGCTGTACTTGTATCACATAAAACAGACTTTCAGTCAAAATTGGTCCAAAGAGACAAAGGAGGTCACTATATAGTGATAAAGGGGTCAGTTCAACAAGAAGATACAATTTTGTGTGTATATCTAGACATATACACACATAATTATATCCTTTTGTTGAATAAGATATGTATGATTATTTAGATGCTCCAGTGTTGAGAACATTAGAACATCTCAGTAAAGCAAATATTAGCACAACTGAAGGGAGAAATACACAGCAATACAATAATAGCAGGGGTGTTCAGTGCCCCACTTCCAACATTATAGATCATCTAGACAAAATAAAAACACAGTAGACCTGAATGACATTGTAGACCAGAGGTACCTAAAAGACATCATAACATCCCGTCCAACCTGACGTGGATACACATTCTTATTCTCAAGCTCACACAGAAAATTTTCCACAATAGATCATATACAGGACTACAAAGAAAATCAACAAAATTAAGAGGATTGGAATTATGTCATACATCTTTAACAAGAATGCTATGAAACTGGAAATCAATAATGGGGAGAAAATGGAAAATGTTACAGATACATGGAATTAATCAGCAGACTCCTGAACAGCCAGTCTGTCAAAGAAGAAACCAAAAAGGAAATCAGAACGCATCTTGAGACAAATGAAAATGAAAAATAAGGTGTTGATGAGATACAGCAAAGTGATTCTAAGAGGGAAATGTATAGCAATAAATCCTACACTAAGATAAAAGGAAGCTCTCAAGTCAATAGCCTAAGTAAACATAAAGGAATTAGAGAAGGAAGAATAACCCCCAAGTTAGCAGAAGGAAAAAAATAATAAAGACTAAAGCAAAAATAAATGAAGTAGAGACTAGAAAGATAATAGAAAAATATCAGTGAAACAAAGAGTTGATTATTTGAAAAGATAAACAATATTGGTAATCCTTTAGGTAGACTAACAAAAAACAAACAAACAAAAGGACCCAAATTTATAACTGAAAGAGGAAACATTACTGACTGGTAGAATACTGTGCACCGAGGGAGCAGGTGCTATTCATTGGTTACTAAGTTCAGGGGAGGACTCTGGGCACTTTTGCCCATTTCCTCTTGGTATCAGAATTGCTAATGAAAACACAGTACAGTCAAACACTGGGTGGAACAATTTCTGCTTACATGAGAAGAGCCAGAGCAAGGTGAGCCTCAGTACTGCCGGTCCCCACGGTTAGCAGGGCTCTCCCCGGGGCCAGTGGAAGGCGGCTGGCCTATGCACGCTCCTCCTGTGCCACAGAGGAAAGGCCCTCCTCCTGCCCCACAGGAGACAGAGCAGACGGTGGGGCAGGTTCCACAAGACCCAGAATCTCCGCACGTGAACGAGAGCACGCACACGCACTGAGTGTGAAACAAGGAAAGATTTCCCCCACACAAGGTGATCAGTTTGATACAGTCTGTGTGTGTTCTTTATCTCCTGGTAAAAAGTGTTCCCAGCCCCAGGCTTGTTCTTAAGTGGGCAAGTAGGAGCTCAAAGACTGCATGCATGAGACCACGTTTCCCCCAAATTACAACTGAACGTCACAGAAATACAGGAGATCATAATAGACTATGTGAACATCAGTACACTGGATAACCCAGAAAAAATGGATCAATTCCTAGAAACATAAAACCTATAAAGATTGAATCATGAAATTGTGAAAGAAATATCTGAATTACTTTTCTGTACACCTGAAACTGACAACATATTAAATCAACTATACTTCAATAAAAAAGAAAATGACAGCCCAGTATCCATGATGAACATATATACCAAAATCCTCAATAAAATGCTATCAAAGTAAATTCAATAGTATAAGATTATACACTGTAATCAAGTGGGAATCATTCAGAATGCAAGGATGGTCTAACATTTACAAGCCAGTAAATGTGCTTGATCACTACATTAACAAAATGAAGGACAAAAATCATATGATCATCCCAAGAGATGCAGA